GATGGATGGATGGATGGATGGATGGATGGATGGATGGATGGATGGATGATGGATGGATGGATGGATGGATGGCGCCACGCCACCCAGGCAAAATGAAGCTGTTTTGACCATCAAATAAACACATAATAAACGCGACGGGTCAGCGATGACGCATGACAAATGCGATTTATACGCCAAAACGACTTAAATGCCAGAAAATACGGTAATCCCAGGAACAATCAAAGCAATGTTAAGTTCATCACGAGTCCTGTTTTTTGTGTCAGAACTATTATTAAATTACTTTTCGGGGTGTGATGATGACTGACAAGACAACTCCATCATCTTCCTCAGCAGCGTTGGGTGAAGCAACAAAGACGGGCTCAGACGGATACAAGCCGGGATAACGCCACACCTAGGCAGGGGAGAGATTACACAGACGCAGTCTTTACTCTGAGCCGTTTCATGTTGGAAAACCAACTCGCAACCTTTTGATGTAAAAATAAGTCCTTTGATGTGGTAATTTCAAGTCCAGTTATCAATGAACTCTATCCAAAAGCACTCTTTGATTGAAAGAGAACCTTAAGCTCCTTGGTGTGGACGTCCATTTTGAGCAGAGAGTCGGCGAAGACGTGTCCAAAGCCACACGAGTAAAAGTAGCGGTAAGGTTTCCCGTTGTGCTGGAGGTAATTGATCTGAGGGAACTCAAGGCCTCCGTACTGTAGCAGCTCATCACTGTGGAGCTCCTCGTGGGTCACGTAAACCTGTTGGGTCGGGATTTAAAGCAGAGCAGTGAGCCTTCTTTGACTTTTCTGATGCTCGTCAAAAGGCTGCTATGCTCTCTGTCTCTATTAAAGATGAATGAATACCTGAAAAAAAAAAATCCCAAACATTTCTCAAATAAACCTGAATCACTTTCTTTTTAAACTCAAATCCTTTTCAGTTTCATAATCTGCCACATTTTTCACCAGATATTTGTGGTGGCTCGGTGGCGGCTCATTCACAGCTGTACGTAACACACGTCTAAATGAGAACTACCGCCGAGGAAAGTACTCAGGTAGTCATGACAACTAAAACATGGCCTTTTCTTTCAACGTCCCAGCTTTATTGTGCCATAAGAAAAAGGAAGACAGAAAGGGAGTGTGTGGGCCACACAGAAGCTATTAAACGACAATCGTTCACTGCATGGTGGACATCATTTTGTCTGCGATAAGTCATGAAATTACTGTCTTGCAGAAAGTAACTTATCTCATTATGCTGGGTAATTGTGCAGAATGTGTGGGAGAGAATAGGCTGTATTTATCATGATTATAGGTCTGATTCCTTACATTTAAGAATATTACTCTGCAAATGCAGTGAAAGTGTACGGTAGTGTGAGAACTATATGATCCTACCTCCCTGGGTTTTGTTTTCCTTGCTGTGGCTTTACAGTTCTCCAGCGTGATGAGGTTTTGGTCCAAAGGAGTTTGTTCGTCCACATTTAGAGGCAGGACGTATCTCCTTGGGAGGTTTCTGCACAGTGAGTTATAAAACTGCCAAACAAAGTTAGGGACATGTGAAAAACTGCAGCATGTGTGGCTGCTTAAAAAATAAATAAAAGACGCAATTCAAGCAGCAACAATCAGGCCCAGACATGTACTAAATAAATACACAAAAACCTGGTGTACACGATTTGATTAAAGTTTCTGTTCTGATTGAAGCAATTTATTCCCTCCCTTTAGAAATCAAACGTTTCGCAAGCTTAAAGCATCAGAAACTGACAGGTGAAAAAAAAAACTGGAATATTTGACGTAATTGAACAAAGTCTGTCAGAGAAACACTCAGAACTTCACTATTTTTTTGCTGATTTACATTCTAGGATTTAAGGGGAATAAAATGTGCAACCAGCTGAACCCTGATTATTTGAAAAACTTTGTGTGCGTTTTTAAGAAAAAACATATAAGACTTGCATAGAACAGAACTTCAAACTAAATACACAGAATTCCTTGAAGGAATGCTTATCACTCACTAAACTACTAGGACTGTCGCGATAAACAATAAATCAATTAATCGCATGATAAATTAAAATTATCAACCTCATTTTCATTTATCGGCTTTATCGTTTCTTCGTGTCTCTCTCTTTCTACTGAAGACACTGGATGACAAAAAGCTCAACTCTGGTGCTCTTCACTGACCCCTCCCTTTCTCTTTTCTCTCTAAAATCTGTTTTAACCGTCCAAAATTGCGTTTTGAATTGTTAAAAGCAGCTAAGCTGAGAAGCTAAACTACGAGCTAAGCTAACAGGCCGAACTCGGTAAAAAACCTCCGTCTTATCAAAGCTCCAAAATTCACAGTTGAAACCCGTGCCTTCGTTTAAAAAGTTGTTTTTCCTCTGCAAAAAGAAGCTGAGAACTTGTTTACTTTTTCTTATTAAAAGTTTTGTGTGACAAATGCTATGCTAAAGAGCTTAAACCACACAGAGCGTCCACCATTTTGAGAACCGAAAAACAGGAACGAGAGACAACCCATGTCACGTCAAGGGACCTCCCTCCCATTTTACTTAAAGAGACACACTGCTCACTCCCTCACTATCCATCCTTCAATTCACACAATTTTATACTGCCATCCAGTGGCCAAAAAAATGTGCAACACACAAAAATTAACCAACATTTCTTCTTAAATTTGACAATTACTAATTACTGTCAAATTTCAAACAATATTATCGTTTATCGCAATAATTTCTGAGACGATTAATCGTCCAGCACAATTTGTTATTGTGCCAGCCCTATAGCCTACAACACCAATTGTTTGCTAAGGTCACTGAAACTGTGGCGGCCATCTCAAAAAAGCTCGACTCTAAAAGGTAATTATTTGTATATGTGCATTCATTGATTATTTTCTGTAAGTTTCATTAACATTAAGCAGTTCATGAAATATTTTCCAGACACAACAAACAAATGAACACATGCACAGACTTTCAGGTGGGGGCAATAATTAAAAGTATTAACCTTGTCCAGTTTCTCTCCTGATTCTCGCCTCAGGTTCTCCAGTGTGTATTCCCCAATGACCCCCCCATCGTCCCCACAGCACATGTCCATAACCAGGAACCCGTTGTCTTCAAAGGCGTTGATCTGATGCAGTGTGAACATTGGTGCTGCCAGATATTTCACCTCACTCTCCTGATGCACCCAGCGAAGTCCCCGAATTATCAGCAAGAAAAAAAAAGATAACAGAGACTTGAAATGTTTGTGGATAAACTGCTCAACAATTTTTTTGGTGTTAGATGAGTGTCGTTTAAGGCTTAGCTGACATGATGTTGCACTTTTGCTTTTTATTTATTTAATTATTTTTATTAAGTGTGTTTAATGGGTGTGCTGTATTATTAGACAAAGAAATTGAGTGCAACAGCATTTTGAGAGGAAGGCTACACCATCCAAGTATGCCGTCAAAATAAACAAGGAAAATATGTAATTGTGCATGATCAATGCTTTCCTCTTTTATTGTGACTTTTTACTAGCTGGGTGTGTTTCCCACCTCACACTTTATTGTGCACAGTGACCACAGCTGTATGCAAAAATTTAGGCATCCCTAATTACAGATACCGATATGATCTAAGGAAGCAAAAGATAGCGAGATGAAAAATGTGTTTTACATACTTGAAGTAAGATTGCTTTTGCAGATACATGTTTAAAACTTCTGAATGAAACAAAATCAATAAGTTTCAGCAACTTATTTTTGGTTTGTACTTTTACATTATTCAACCCTAAAAACCTTTAAATAATATAAAATATCAAATTGACCATACAACACATTTCTTTAGTAAAAAAATACGTCTTGAACTTTTATGGATGTCAGGTATTTTCACACACTTTGCCTGTGAGCCTGTCCACCAGGTGGAAAACGGTGCCACACCGCGGCTCCCAGGTCATGATTTTGTGAAAACTTTTCCCCTGGATCTTAAAGAGCATGAACTTCAGCAGGTCCAACTTGATCGGCTGTTCAACAAACACAATGTAGTTCTCTGACATGACTGAAAACAAAGAAAACACACAGGAAAAACACAAATACATTAAAATGATGTATGTCCACAAAATAAATACCATGTGGCTATCAGAAAAGTTTCATTTAAATTAATCTGATTCAACATGGCTGCTACAGCCAATCGACTTTAAACAACATAACTACCCAATTAATTTTCTATATATGGAGCTAAAATTAGATGTGGTAGTAGCTGAGACTGGTCTCCATCACATATTGTGAGCTACAACAGATTGAGACTGGGTTTTGTTTAAAACTTGAAATCAACTGTGTGTCAGTTGCTTGATCCTTCAAGATATATTTCTTGCATGTGCCTTTACAAGTGATTAAGTTTTGGAGATAATTCAGTATAAAATGGCTGCCACAACAAACTGACCTTAGAAAACACAAAATGGCTATAATAGGCCATTGTTACAGTCTCTGTGTTAGATTTAGATGTGTTTGTAGCTGGGAGTCATTCAAAAACTACAAATGCTAATTATTGTGCAGGATTTTCCTCAAACTTTAACATTAAATGTTGAAGTTCATGTTTTCTGCCCATTAGCAAAATATCTTATGAGACAATGGACAGATTTTACAGAGACTTTTGGAAAGTACCGGTAGTCATTTGATAGATGTACAACTGATCAACTTCAGGTTTGAATTCAGTTCAAGATAGCAAATGAAATGTATCAAACACAAAAGGCCTATAATGAGATAGAGTTTTACAGATAATAAGTTAAAATTTGATGTGGTTGTAACCAAGAGTCACTGGCACACAAAATCCTAGTGGGAAATCTGGCAATATTGCATGAAAATACACACTCTGTTTTTTTAGGTTCATCCAAAATGGCTACGACTCTGTCATTTATCAACACAAGATAATCTTAGTTCAAATTTCTGGCATGAGCTGTGATGGACAGAATGTGTTTGTTCAATTATCTTATGTTATTATTTCATCTCTGAAGTCATCACTCATTGTGCAGCAGGCCACATCCATCAAAGTCAGCCTCCAAATGAAGTCTTTCTTGTCTCAGAATTATTGTTTTCTAAATGACTCTTCTGAGGACAAAGATCACACAAAGTGCTGTTCTTGCACATGAACACATTGAACTGTAAGCAAAAACGTCTTTATCCAACTGAAACTCATTTTAAATCATCACCCCTGGAAAATAAAGAAACCATTATGAGGATTTTGTAAGGAAACTCAGTTCTCAAATCTTAGATTCACCAAAATATTGAATAAATTTGAAATAAAAATGGAATAAATGATGACGGTCTTAAAAGGGCCGGTAACATCTATTATTTATTTTGCATGAGTCTGATTTTCACCGCCCACCTGTCAATCAATCCAGCAGGCTTGTCAGCTACTGATCAATCAGCGATCTCCATTTGTGCCGAAGTGAAACGCCCTGCAGGAGTTCCCCTCCCTTTTTCTCTGACAATATTGTCAGGGTTTTACATTATACACTTTGTGGTCAGAGGGATTTCATGAAAAATAATCAAAAACAAATGGTTAAACGTTGTCAGTAGAGAACATACGATTCAGACAGCATTACCCTGAGCATTTAGAGGATGGAATACAGTTTATTCCATTTACAAAACCTGAACAGAGTCTAGAAAAATGTAAAAGATGGATAAAGCCCTGCAGCCAACCTCATGAGCAGCTGAATACAACAGTGATAAACAGGAAGTACCGCATGTTCATCTGTGCGACGGTAACTGCAAGTAAATCATCCATTTTCTGTCATGATTACATTGCATAATTAATGGTTAAATTAAAGTTTAATGCTTAAAGCTAGTTGTACTTTGTTTTGTGTGTTTTAACTGTAGATAGCCTATAGCTATGTTGTAACTTTTGGTTGCATAAGTTTAGTCTTTGTTTGCTATGATCAGTTAAAACTAAACTGATTTCGTACAAAGCGTTGTGTAATTCAAAGCAGAATGCTACGTCTATAGCATCTTAGCTAACATGTATTGCACACCACTAGCTTAGCACTACTTCGTGTTGTGCCATGCTCTCTAAAATAGTTATTGAATCAGATGTTTACTTATGTTGGTAAACGTAGCTGTTTAAAAACCCATTCAAGTGCACCAGAATACAAGAAATGGTATCAACTTTACTCAAAATTTTCTGGAGGAGGACCCCCGAGCCCCCCGCCAGTGTGTGTCCCCCACTATACAATTGCTTCTGATGCCAATAGCCCCTGTATAGTTGAAGCCAAGAGGGTTAAGCACCCCTGAAGAGCAGATTCTAGAATCACCCCTATGAAGTGTCCCGTAAAATGTTTCCTCACTTGTGGGATTATTCGGTTCCCAGCACCAGTATGATAAGACGGGGTCAGAGATGTGATCGGGGAACTGGTGCACACATACTAAATGAGGCAACGGGTGTCAAACCAAAGAGCAAAGTCTTATTTGTTTTAACAGTCTGGAATTGGCTCTGTATTTGATTTTTTAATGTCCACTTTGTGCTCCTTCTGGGCATCAGCTGACCTGTGAATCATAAATCCTGACTCCTCTAGATTTGGCTCTGCCACACACAGAATTCTTTACCACCTCAGCCTCTTTGTGATACTGTTGATTCACTGAGACCCACATTCATATGCTTGTTTATCAGACGGATTAGTCCTCCCAGCAGAAATCTTGTTGCCGCTGAGACTTTTTCTTTTGGAGAACTCCATCAAAGAGCAGAAACTATTCTGCCAAATATAGCTGTGCACCAGCAATAGTCAGAGCTGATTACAGATCGAGGCAACAACATGCGCACACCCGTAAACACCGAATTACAACCTGATAAACAAATGACTCGAGAGAAAAATGCATGTGTCTCAGCACTCATTTTTGAGGAAATTTAGTCAGGGACGAAGCTAAAACAGAACGAGTATCTTTGGGGATTTAGATTATTATTATCTCTTTTTAGAGACAAAAGGAAGGTGAAAAGTTTCCACATGTAAGTTGGAGTCAAAGTTGCAGAGGGAGACAGTTATAGTCGAGGAAAAAGGCAAAGGACAAAATAATCATGAATGACAAAAACAGATGCAGGACAAGAGGAGAATTTAAACATTACGATTATGAAAATGATTCTGTGAAGCAGATGTGCTCTGCGGAAGCAAAAGGTAAAGATCGGCACAGAATTAATTGATTTTAATCCAGTGATACTTTCAGCATGCAGACAAGCTAACGGGGATGCTGCTTGTTATGCTGAGATGTGTATCTCACCAAAGCTGTGGTAATAGGATGGTTTTCTGGATTCAGCTGCACGGATGGAGCAGATCACTTCGGCTCCAGAGAGGTCAGCTGCATCCGTCTTTGCTGCCTCGTTCTCAGGGGGTGGGACACGAATGATGTTGTAGAAAAAACCTAGAGGAAAAAATATTGTCTAGTCATGCTGTTGTTATTGTTAGACTACAATAAAGTTACTTACTACATAAATAAAACTAAGGCAAAAAGAGAAAACAAAGCTTTACTTCACGCCTTTTTTCTATTTTTGACTTATGCTTATCTACATTTTGGCAACTGCCGTCAATTTAAATGTGAATGTGCTTTTTTTTGTGTGTGTTCTAGTTGTTTACATAAATAAAAATTAAGAAAACGAACAGTCTTTGAAACAAAGTGCACAAGATAGGAATGGGAAGTGAGCAAATGAATACACTGCAGAAACATTTGAAGAGTTTGGGAAAGGTTTTAAACAACATGTTACCTGTTGTAGATAGAGTTTAGAACCACCACAGAGTTTAAGTCGGACGACACTGACTAGATAACAGAGCTGTTAGCTCATCAGTCTTGCCAGAATTAATCTATGTAGTTTTACAAACAAAGGTCTTTCAAATATCTATAACAGGTGAGATAATATCTGATTACAAGCCTCCTAGACCCCACTTCAAAGGATTTGAACCAGCAGTTTTGTGGCATCATAAAAGTTTGAGGACTGGATTTTTTTTCAGGGAGCATAAATTGCTCAAAATCAGTATGGATTTGTTTAAAGATTAAAGTAAAGTTACCCTGTTTGCCATAAGAATTGCCCATGTTATAAGCTGCCCCTTCTCGATCATAGTGTGGGTGAGCTGTAGCTGAGCTGACTGCAATATACTGGCTCCAATCCACCTTACAATGAAAGAACAAAAACAATATACAGTCATTTTCATTTTTTTTAAATCTTAATAAAATGTTAGAGTCTGAGCTCTACAGTCTAAGCATTAAATAGATAAACATATTTTTAATGTTCAGACTCACCTTGTCTTTTGTCTCCAGACTTTGTGGATCCACTCTTCTCATGTAGTTCGTTTCTGTGCTCACATAATAGTCTCCTTTGTACTTGACAAAGTTCACATTAGCATTGTCTGTCGCTTCTATTCACACATAGACAGGTCAAGAACATATTGCTTCAATAAAACTGGCTTTTCTCACAGTCATTATTGAAAAATGCTCAAAGATTGTTGTTTATTTTTCTCTTTAATTCTTTATAAGTTTTGCTCCATGCTTTGCATTGATCTGTTCTTCACAATATGTACACACAGTAATATAGATCTGTGCTCCCTTTGGCTGGATAAAGCACAGTAGCCTTCGTAAGTCTGTGAAAACCTTTCATAATATCTAATACAAGCTCATAAAAAAGAACAAACATGTATTTAAATAGTTTTCAGTTCGATTCAGTTCTGTTTAATTGAATGACGTCAAGTCACAACAAAAGTTGTCTCAGTGCACTTTACAAAAGCATTCACATACATTCAAAAGCCAATTAGTAAAAGTTATCTATCTAAGGAAGCTAGCAGATTGTGTTGAATCTTCACTTCATTGCAGTCTCCCATCCTGAGCAAGCACAAAGGCAACAGTGGAAAGAAAAAACTCCCTATTAACAGGAAGAAACCTCGAGCAGAACCAAGACCAGGACAAGCGGCCATCTGCTTCGACTGGCTGGGTTTGAGAGGAACAGGAAGAGGAAACAAACAAAAACTAAATTGCAGGTCCATGTGTACTTTGTATTGGAGGAAAGACAAAAAAGCATGTTGAAGATAGAAATAAATATAAATACAAACAGGTAGAATAGAGCAAGTAAAGACAACAGTAGTGAGGAAATATGGTCATTTTTTCCTCCAGCAGTCTAAGCCCAGTATAACTAAGGGATGGCTTAGGAAACCCAAGTTGACCGTAACTATAAGATTTATCAAAAAATGAAGACTTAAGCATAATCTTAAAAGTGGAGAAGGTGTCAGCCTCACAGACAGAAACTGAAAGTTTGTTCCACAAGAGAGGAGCCTGATAACTGAAAGCTTTGCCTTCCATTTTACTTTTGCAAACTCTAGGAAACATAAGTAAACAAATGGATGGATGGATTTTAGAGCCGTTCCTGTAATCCCAATAACATATTCAAGCCTCTGTAGTAGAATATTGTGATCAACTCAAATATAGCACTTTCTCTGTTTGATTTATTTATTTATTTATTTGTAATTTTCAAGCAAAACCTGTTGATGATAAACCCTAAACCATGCACTTCTACAAAGCAGTTCCTTGTAAATATTACAGCTCTGAAGCTTAAGAATGGGCTCAGAAATCAGAGATCTCAATTTATAGTTGAGATTTATAGTTCAACGCTTTTGAAGTGGATTCTGTGGAAAGGTTATAACAATTAATATTTTTTGTGTTATAGATAGCTCTTTGAACAAGTTTAATGTAACAAAATAGTGTTTATTTTTGTCCATATTGACATGTGAATGGCATGTCTAAGCAATGCCAGGACCTAAGTGGATTGCTGCCATTTTAAAATAACTCCAACCTCAAACATTTCACTCTGTTTTGTTTTTTATACAAACTATTACTTGGCTGTCAATTTTGTATAAAATGGTTATTATACATAAAGTTTTGTTTTTATTACTGAATGCAAAAGTGGTGGTGATAGCTAGCTGTTGTGCTACGAGAGCAGCCTGGGGTATTTTGGGTATCATTCTGTCAGAATAACGGTGTAGTGGAAAATTAATGATGATGCAAAAATGTATGTTTTTACTGCTGTGAAGTATTTAATATTAAAGTATTTTTTAAGACTTTTAAGATTCTTTTTAAGGGAGCAATCTAATTTGGTATCTGGATAGCTTTTCATCTTGTTAATCTGATTACAATTAAACTCTGGTTCTATCTACAACAGATATGATATTAACTGTTCATAACATTTCTTCAAAATCCCACTTCCAAAGATCTACCATCCATCCATCCGTTATCTTCCGCTTATTCCGAAGTCGGGTCGCGGGGGCAGCAGCTTGAGCAGGGAGGCCCATACATCTCTTTCCACAGCCACCTCTTCCAGCTCTTCTGGGAGGATTCCAAGGCGTTCCCAGGCCAACTGGGAGACATAGTCTCTCCAGCGTGTCCTGGGTCTTCCCCGGGGTCTCCTCCCAGTTGGACATGCCCGAAGCACTACCTGTATCTAAGAGTGAAAAAACAGCTACACCCTAGTGCTGGTTTGGTCAGTGCTGGCGTTGTGTGATTTTCATGTTAAAAAAATGTGACATAAAAAAGGAACACATACATACTTGGTGTCTGAAAGCGGGAAAAAAAGCGTGCAAAAATGTTCTTGCAGGGGTCAGGCATGGCTAACGTCCCGAACTCTGAAACTACGATGCGGTTCTTCTCAGAGTTGCAGACATATGAGTCACTTCTTAGGAAGCGACTGCTGTAAGTTACTTTGCCCTCACAGATGAGAAACCTATGCATCAAGGCCATACCATCAAACCAGTGCGTGTATCTGGAAAAGAGAAAGAAAAGAAAAAAACTTTCTTAAGGTAAAATAAATGGTATAATATAATCTCTGTGGGTAAAGTGTTGGTAAAATAATAACTGTAACTAAATTATTTTGAATGTAACATTCTTTGAAATAATGAATATTGCCCTCCACCTTTAAAGTTAAAGTTTTAAACATAGATGTTAAACCTGTTAAAACTTGGAGTTGGGGATGACTCTCAGTTACTATTAGCTTAATATCTCTGAAATGGATCATAACCATTTATGTGAAAAGTAAGGTTGATTATTTGTGGCATCCATCATGAATTTGGTTGACTTCAAAAATGAATTAGTTGTACTGTAGCTGCACGGTGATTGGTTAATTTCTGAGAGTTTTGTTAAAATATGACCAAATGGTTCAAGAGACAGTTCGCCAACATCTACCAAACACAGTCACAGCATGATAACTCTTAAATAATTTAAGGGGAAAACTTTTTTTCCCATGTGCAGCAAAAAGCAAAGTACATTAGCGTACTATTAAAACTGTGAACCTGAATGCTGAATAGAAGGTTTATTTTGTTCATCAAATACCTGCCCTCCCCAAACTCGAATTTTCCGGGACCATTTCTCAGGAAGCTGCCATTGATCCAGGTGGGAATAGTTCCTTTGATGGTTGTGGGTATGGGGTCAGGGATTTCCTCCACAGAACTCACCATAGATGCCAAACTCTCCAGACCACTGGCCTGTGGACATCGCTCCCTGCTGGATACTGAGAGAGAAAATGAGACGAAAACCACTGTAAATTAATCAAAACGCATGTACGCATGAAAACAGAGCTTAGAAATCTCATGGCTCAAGTAACACACTTTTCTGACAAAGTCTCCCCATCTCTTCAATATCGTATATATTAAATGTTAGCGTGTTGCAGCTAAGATGTTTATACATTTGAAACTTGGAAATGTTGATGAGGAAATTATGTGAAGTTCTACACTATAACCTATGTGTGATTTGCACAAAGTGTGTGGTGTAAAAGTGGCAATATATGTTGTATATGGGATAGACTATAATCTTATGTCTTAGATGTTTTGATTAGCTCATGTTTATGACTCACTGCCAGAAGACAAAGGTAGACCAATGTCTGAGTGTGTGCAGTATGTGTGTTTAGCTGCCTGTTATCAAAATATCTCATGAACCACCAGATGGATTTTAATGAAACCTTCAGGAAATAATCATTAGATAATATCCACAACTGATTAACTTTTGGAGCCAACCCAATTCAATATGAGTGCAGCAGCTAATTTTTAATAGTCAACATATAAAATATCTAATCAGTCAGTTTTAGAGAAACTGAGTTGCAAATTGATGTGGTTGTAGCAGAGTCACAACACTCACATATAATGCATACTCATGTAACTCATACTCATGAGTGTCACATCTTGCGATATCGCATGAAATGATGCATTAGGTAATTTTCAAGAATTGTTCAAAATGGATACAACTCCATTGCATCTCAATATAATATGATCATTAACATGTTTGGTGGTAAGGACCCAAAGATAGCAGACTGATGACAAGGACTCGAAGGTAGATAAGGTAAGTGTTTTTATTTACACGTGAAAAAGGGAATTGTTGTTGAAAGGCAAATGAACTAGAGGTGAGTATTGGCAGGATTTAAGGATCAATGATTTGTAATTTTTCTTAGTTGTGGAAATCTTACTGTAATTTGTTTGTTTGCAGGTAGTGAGAGGGGAGATTCAGTGGTTCCTAGGAGTGATAGCTTGTTTGATCCAAGAGGTAAGAACCATTGGAGAGAGGGACAGGGTGATAGAGGTATGAAGTTGATCCAGACTGATATTTGGTTTGCAGGAGCAGAGATGTTGACTGGCAAGATCACATGAGGCTGAGAGGACTTGGCAGGACATAGAGGAGCAAGGCTTGAAAACACAAAGAGCAAATTCACAAGGTATTCTTAGGAAGAGGTATGTTTACTGGCTGTGGATGAATTTACCATAAGGTATAGTAATGTTCTATAGTGTCAGATGAATTACTGCCAAGTCCTTAAGTATTGTGCAGGGGTAGATGACATGATCAAGTGAAGTTGTGGAATGATGGCTTGAATGGATCATTGTCAGCTGTGGGGAAAGTGATTATGACAGGCAAACCTAGGAATCCCACATTTCCCCCCTCTCAGTGATCGACTCTTGGTGATCTAACTTGTTTCTCAGGGTGATTTTGGCAGAAAGAGGTCATAAGATCAAGATCAAGAATGAAGGCCCTGGGAACCCAAGAACCTTCCACTAGGCTATAGCCTTCCCAAATTGCCAAGTTTTGGAAACCTTGATCTCTACGATGTGTGTCCTGGAGGCGTCGAATCATAAATGCGAGGTGGTCATCAATCAACCGGGGGGTGGAGGGATGTTTGTAGGAGGGTTTAACGGACCTGTGGAAATGCTTTAATCTGAGAGACATGCAAATTGTGATGGATTATCAAGGAAGGAGGGCGTTTTAAAGCAACAGCTGAAGGATTGATGGTCTTGATGATGGGAAAAGGACTGATGAATCTGTCGGCAAGTTTTCTAGGAATGCCTTTCAATTTTTTGTCTTTAGTTGATAACCATACCTTTTGACTGGGTTGATAGGTGGGCGCCATAGAACGGTGTCTTTCTGCAAATCGTTTGTTTTGCTCTGCTAGTAAAGCCTCTCTTGTCTGTCGCTTTTTCTACGGCAACAGTAAAGGTGATGCTGATCAGAGGGAACAAAAATTTCAGTTTGCTGATTAGAAAAATGTGGAGGAGAGTAACACAGAGACACTTTGAAAGGGAAAAGAGCCATTGCTGAAGAGGTAAGAGAGTTATGGGCATTTTCAACCCAGAGTAAATGTTGGCACCATGTGGAAAGATCTTTTTTATTATGCACCTTAAAGCTGCTTTGAGTTCTTGGTTGCATCCTTCAGTCCCAGCATTTGATTGTGGATGCTATCCAGAGGTAAGACTCGAAGTGGCCCCAACGGCTTGCAGAAAGACTTCCATACTTGTGAGATGAATTGGGGTCCCCTGTCAGAGACAATGTCCTGAGGGATGCCATGAAGGTGATAAACGTGTGACGAGTAGTTGAGAAGATTCAAGTGCTGATGGGAGCTTGGTCAGGGGAATGAAGTGCGCAGCCTTAGAAAAATAAATCATTGATGGTGCAGATGACAGTTACCTTAAGATGGGGGTAAACCAACAATGAAGTCAATGGGGATGTGTGATTAGGGCCGATCAGGAGCGGGTAATAGAAGTAACAGTCCTGTGGGTGGCTGATGGTTATTCTTATTCCTAGCACATGTAGAACAAGCTGGAACAAAGTCATCCATATCATTGTATATGGTAGGCCACCAAAAATGTATCTTAGTAATAAGTAACATGTGTTTCATACCTGAATGACAAAAGAATTTCACATTGTGAATCCAATCTAGAACGTTAATTATCATGGAAGGTGGAACAAACAATGTTCCAGGGGTGCTGGTGCTAGGATCTGGTTCTGTTTTTTTAGCCTCTTTGATTTCCTTCTCAATGGTCCAAGTCATGATTCCCACCATACCTGACATGGGTAGAATCCCTTCTGGTTTAGAGGACTAGACTCTTGTGATCTGTCCAAATCACAAAAGGTAATTCAGCTCCCTCCAGCCAATGTCTCCACTCTTCCAGAGCAAGTTTTGTGGGCCAAGAGTTCTCTGTTACCTACATAATAATTTCTCTTTGTGGGTGATAGGCGTCAAGAGAATAAGGCACAGGTGTGTAAATCTCCATCATCTGGGGATCTTTGTGAAAGAACAGCTCCCACTCCTGTGTCTGGGGCATCCACTTCCACTCCAAACTCTTGATGAGTGTTTGGATGTGATAGTATGGGAGCAGAAGAAAATAGTTGTTTTAATTAATTGAAGGCAGCTTCTTCTTCAGGAGTCCAGGTGAATTTTCAGAGTGGATGTGAGTTGGGTGAGAGGAGCTGTCATTTGTCTGTAGTTCTTAATGAACCAGCCATAAAAATTTGCCAACCGTAAGAAACACTGAAGTTGTATCTGCTCCTGAGGAGTTGGCCACTTAGCGACAGCCTTTGTCTTTTCTGGGTCCATACACACCTGTCCTCTCTCAAAAATGAATCCCAGGAAGTTCATGGAGGGCAGATGATACTCACATTTTTCAGCCTTGATATAAAGTTGATTTTCAAGAAGTCTTTGAAGAACAACCTTGACATGTTTATTGTGTTGTTGCAAGTCCTTAGAATAAATTGATATATTGTGAAGGTAAACAAACACAAAGATGTGCAAGAAAGGTTTCAGAACATTGTTGATTAGAGCTTGGAAGACAGCAGGGGTGTTAGTTCAAACGGCATTACTAAATATTCAAAATGCCACAAAGCGGTCTTAAATGCCCTCTTCCACTCGTCCCCAACCCAAATTCTCACCAAATGGTATGCATTGTGAAGATCCAAGTTGGTGAACACTAGGGGTTGAACGATGTAATGAGAGAGCAAGAGATGGATTCAGCTCAGGGGTGCTCTCTTACATTTTATAATATCTGGACTAGTTCAAGTACATGATATTATACTTAATTTAAACGGATTCTTTCATTTTTCTGGAATAAGTCATATCGTGCTTTGATTATTAAATGTGGACAGAGACGTGTTTTATCTTTCTGACTCACCAACAACAGTGGGTCGTTTATTTTAAACGATTTAAATACACATCACACATTTACATTAATTGGCAGATTGATTACAATTAACACAGCTTAATTAATGAGCTTTACAATGAGAAATCATACGGCCATGATTTCTCCCTTGCAGCTGAAATACAACAGACATTTCTGAAAATATCTGGATTAATTACTGGCAGATAGAAGAGTTTTAAAGATGGGGAATGAAGGAGTTTAAATGGAGAGAAAAGATGTGTGAGGGAAAATGTGTTGACGAAGAACGACACCCTCCATTCGAACCCAGCTCTACCTCGGTACACTTCGGTAGTGGAAATCGACTCTTTACCTTGCAGAAGATATCTCAGCTTCGGTGTAGAGTTCTTTTTCAGCGTTACCATTTCAGCGTCTCCGTAGGATAGCAGAGAAACGTCCGGAGTAGTGACGGTACTTCATTCAACAGCACGCTCGCCTCCCGGGTGGACTCACATGAGCTGTGAGCCCGTCAGAGTTCCACTCAGATGTGGAAGATTCCATAATCCCCACGAGACTCGAAAGAACTCCCAACTAACTCCAGCACTTCAGAACTTTCGTTCGGTTCTGCTCTCAGAACTTTGGTTCATGTCTCAGAACTTTGAACTGACTGGAACTAGAAAGTTTCGACTTTTTAAAGAGTTCGCTTCCGGCCCCTTTTTTGGGAAATTCTGATTGGTTGAAAGAACCAACAGGGGTGTGGTTTTAGTGACGTAAGAGGTTACTACAAGTCAGAAAAACAGTGAGATGTTTTAAGAACAGACAGAGAAATGTTATGGCGAAATGAGAGACTCACAGGTGCCAGCTTCTCTTGTTTACCGTCTGCTAGGTTTTAAAACATGACAGTTCGTTCCAATAACTTCTTTCTGACTTTCTCCGACTTTTGACCGACATCACTCCTTCTCATTTCAGACAGAAGATCAAAATGCATAATTACTTTGTAACAGACATCTAACTTGATTTCTACTTTGAATGAGGATTAAAAATCATTAATACTGTTTCACAGTTGATTTAAAATGAGTAGTTCACTTCAACATTTAAAAATAATTTGAACTAAACACAC